TTGGGAGTCTGAAATTAAGCTATGTTCTGTTAGGTAGCTGTAAAATGTGTTGAAAATAATTTTATTAGCTTGATGATGGCTGGCAATACAGGAATAGGGCTGTAATTGTTAGGGATGCATTTTTGTCATCTTTTATACTGGTGTCACCTTTGTTGGTAAGGCCTTTATCATTTCCAGAATAGGGTTCTGTCGTCTAYAATGGGGTTGTAGACGTTTCTTTAATTTTGAAGGAATGTTGAGGGGGAGTGATATGATATGAGCGCTGCTTTGAGGAGGGCGACAATTTAGATGCTAGCCTAGGCCCAATTTCAGTGAAATGCAAGTTCAGAGCATTGCCTTTTTTACATGGAGCAGTATGATTCATATCATTATATACAAAACTTTTGATAGATGTTGTATTAGAATWACTGCCCAATAAATCATTAGTGCCTTTCCATGTTTGTCTTATGTTGTACATTAGTGTTATGCCTCCAAATTGGGATAGGCTGTTGAACCGGGAGACAATCCCCTACTTTTTCACGAATAATTCAACAGGCTCTTTTATGTCCTCCATTTACTGTAGGTTAGGAAGGGTTGGGAGACAGGACTTACGGTTTAAAGTTAAGGATGATAACCTCAATCGCTGGTGACTTTGATTTTTCAAGTGGACGTTCAAAAGCTCCCATCAAAATGATAGGAATTCTATGTTCCAATTAAGAATGGTTTGAAGTTTGGTTTTTTAACTTTAATACTTAACCATTCTAGGTTAATTCCATTCAAAGTTAGTATAGTGTATTATCACGGTCATAACAAGYAACATTTCTAATGTATGGTGCAACATCACCTCGATTTCTGTTTCTATCATTTCTTTCATACACATAGTCAGGTAAACTAAGTTCATTTATGCTAATACCATCATATCAACTGGCTCAGTGAGCATATGGGCTCTGAGCTKGGCAATATATTTTGGTAGACTAGCAATATTCATGGCAGCAATTTAGAACCTCTGGTTTGAGGAAGAACAAGAGATAAATTTGAGTTGATATATCATTTGAGATGGGTATAAATCCGAGCTATTAGATAGTTGATGATCTGAAAGAGAACCTGGTATAAGGGGYAGTTCACTGTAATTATTTAATGAACATCATTCAGATTTAAAAAATACTAAATTGCTAGCTAATATAGACACACCTTGATCACCGATCGAGAAGTCCACCTTCATTGAGATGTGGCTTAGAGATGTTGCTATGCTTTATCAGTCCCCAACCATTCTTATTACAATTTTTCTTTCAGTAGAAGSTTGTTAACAGCATTAATACGATCCTCTGGTGTTTTATCTGATCTTGTTATTATTTCTGATAATATGACCTCAGCGTCGGATTCATTCTCAATCATTCTTGTTAAATGAATAATGCTGTGAGATATTTGGTTGAGCTTATTATCACCAAGATCGTTCGTTCCAACATGTAGAGCAATTCGTTGTGGTTTTTTGCTTAGCGTTTGCTTCAAGTGGTGTTTCATATCCGTGGTTGTAGTTTCTTGTAATGCCTTGAGACTGGATGGAAAATTGGAAGGAAAGTTGGACACTGCACTCGCTTTTATCATCGAATCTCCAAAAAAATTACAGTCTGCTACAGAAGTCGATGTTTCCATGTTTCCCTGTTTCTATGAGTATTTGATTATTATTGTTATATTTAAATGAATATCAATTCTTCAGTAAAGTAGCTTTCGTATTGAAAAAA